TGTTGAAGGTGGATTCAAGAAAAATAAAATCCTTAACAACTTCAATATTTTCTCTCTTTTTCATGATGTTGATTTCATGTTGGTCCAGTTATGAGGACTTTTGTTGTTTTTTATGTTGAGGTGTAATCCATATCAAAGGCTGTAGTCTTTGATCTTCATCAGTAAGTACTTCATAGTCCTCTTTGCTTTCAGGAAGAAAGGTTGTGTCATCCTCATACAGCAGGTTGTTAATGAGCCTTCCTCCAATCCTGATGCCTCATTCTCTTTCAGATAGTCCAGCTTCTTGGACTGTTTGCCCAGCATACAGACTGAGTAAATGTAGTGAAATGATACAACTATTTTGATTTGGAACCATACAAATGTAGTGAAATGATACACCTTTCCTGATTTGGAACCATACAACAACCCCTTTTTCTGTTCAAATAATTGTCTATTGGTCTATGTACAGGTTCCTCATGAGCACAGTTAAGTGTTCTGGAATTCAATATAGACAGCGAATGTACTTTCATTCTTTTTCTTTAGGGGAGAAGCAATCAAGGTCTTAAAAGATGCATGTGTATTATTGCAGATCATTTAAAAAGAGATTCTACTTGCGACATTGCTATTGCTAGGTCAGGATTTATGAAAACATGTGCTTTCATTACAACAACGGACTGCCTTCTGCTTCCCAAGTATCCATATATTCTTATAAAACAAGTGGATCACATCTGAAACAGATCTTAAAATGAGGTTGCTTGTCGAGTGTTCTAATGTTGCTGCTGACAATCATTTGAGGTGTTTTGTTTTGTGATGGTTTAGGCATAAATACCTAGATGATGACATTGCAGTGAGTAGAAATTAAACAGTGGATTCCTAGAAGCATTAATAAAATAATATCAATGACTGTAACAGTAATCACTTTCCAAATTTTCATCTTACTATGTTGTTTCTGTTGTTAAGTGTCCTCAAGTCGGTTCCAACGCATATGTTCTGTCCCTGTATAGTGTTTCCAAGGAGCAGCTAGTGAGTTTGAACCATCAACTTCTCATTCAAACCGACCTTGAAGTGGAGTGCTTTTTCTACAATGCCACATCTTACTATATTATTGCTAATTAGAAAGATTTCCCATCATATTCATTCACTGAATTTTTTATTTCCTTTCTGAGAACTTACAGTTTGTATTTGTTCTGTCTTAGGATCAGAAATTCACAATAGCATGTAATACTAAAAGGTTGAATTGTTTTCCTGTTCTCCTGGATATCATCAGTAATGGGTTACTTGGAACTTTTAATTCTTCCGAACGTATTCAGACTGACAGAAGCACATATTTTGAAGTAAGTGTATTAGCTTCCATTTACTGAGCCACAAGACATTTGCAAGAAAATCCTTAGAAAGCTGAAATCATATCATACTCATTTTTATAAACTTATTCTAAGTTTAAGGCTATATATAGCATATACTTTACATATACATGCATGTACAGAAACTTGACATTTTAACTACTCTGTTGTTAGTAAGTATCTCTGTGTGGCAGAGCCCACAAACTCTGACTATGTTGGGGTATAATCTAACATGGACGTTATCTGTTGTTTATGATCCAAGACATGAGTAAGAGGCACTGGCTATTAGGATAAATTGTAAATTCTAGGGATGGGAAATTCAGAATGTTCCATTCCTAGAGATCTTCCGAATCAGGAAAATCATCCAGCGTGGTATATAGCCAAGCATGAGGTTGTCAGGTGCTTCCCCTTGTACCTTGCCTTCCCCTTACAGAGCCTCCCCTCCACATATGCATTCTTATCCCAGCAGTGAGGAGGGGCCTAGAGTGCTGCCAAGTCTTGAGAGGGGGTAAGAGGAGAGCGAAGTAAGGAAGCCCTAAATTCATGATTTGTGTCCTCCGATGACTTACTACAATGAGACAATTGATCACAGATCAAATCAAGGCTTGTAGGGAAACCCAAGGTGCTCCTCAACCTACATAGGGTTTAACAATTTTTTGATTCAACGTCTTTATGTCGAGTGCATGATGTCCATCTCTTCTCCAAGCCCCATCACTCTCATTTTCCAATACCCACCCTCCTGACTCTACCATGGTTGTCAGGCTCCTGGAGACCCTAGAATGAAGACCCCTGCAGTAGATGCCGAACCAGGGTGAGGGTGGGGGGAGCGTCAGAAGTGTTGACTGATCGGATTTGGGTCCAGTTTCTGAGAATAACACAATAACCCCCTTCACTGACGGTTCACAATCGACTCGCTGTTGAAATAACAGGCTAAATGTGATAACCATGAAGTCAGGCGATCGGGAATTTCATGTCTTACTTGCTAGTTACTAACTGGGGGGCCTTAGCCACCTCACATAAGTTGGCTGAATCTGCTTCTTTACAAGTGAATCAGGATACATGTCCAGAGCCCTAGCTGCCTCAAGACAGCATTGAGAATGTGGATAAGGAGTTGCAGATGGGACCTTCGGTGGTGCTTTGTGTGATCAGACCAAGGCATTTATTTTAGAGGTTCAGTTAAGCAGGTGCAGTTGAACCATATGACCAATCGCCATCCGCTCACAATGTTCTTCCTGATTTCAGATATACATGAATTATGAGTTTGCATACCTGAGTAACGCCTTCTTCTGGATACCTGTGGCAGCCTGTTTTACACCTTACATTGCGATGAGCAGCATCAGCGATTACAAAGTAAGGAGAGGAACAAAGTCCCTTTGAGTTTTCCCTTCATGACCAAAGTGCATTTCAGATGGTGCATCCAATTATCTATTGATACAATAAATAATCAAACATCCTAATCAGAGGTTGCCAAATATGAGGAAAATGCTATTAAAAAAATAATGATAACTGAGAGACCTCAGAAAGGACAGTTAGGCTGTGCCCTAGATTCGTGAGGATTTCTCCTCTGACTTGGCTCATCATTTGCATGGATACATTGACAGTCACATTCTCTCTCTCAACAATAGTTCCTACCTTCCAAATGCTGCTAAAGGTTTTTGATAAACAACCCTGATGACCCCATTTTAGCCCTTGAACATGTAATTCAAAACCATTGCCCTGCTAAAGCTTCATTTTGGAATGCTTTTATATAAAGTTCAAGAAAGCTTTCCCGGTGTCCCAGTGTCCTTAGCAGCACCCGCTGACAATTGCTTTGTGACACTGAACCTTGTAGAAGTTCCAGAAATGTCTTGGGTTGAATTTATTTCCACTCATTCTGCTTTAAAACTGAGTCTCGCTTTAGCAGCTACTCACATGGCAAATACAAATAGTCTTTTTCTTCCTTGACTTTGATGAGACCACACGTCCACTGTTTTCTTTCCACTCTTTCTCAGGACTCTTTTGGAGTCAACCTGCTTGGCTCCCAATCCTAACTCTTCCACCATCAAGTTGCATGACCTTGTGAAAGTTACTTAATCGGTCTGTCCCTCATGGGTTAGATAATTATTCTTATCTTATATTCAACATAATAGAATGTTGATTACAAATGTTTATGTTCGGCATAAACTTTAAGAATCATACAGGAAATGGACAAATGATTTCTGTAGAGCCTTAATGTAAGTGACAAGTTGTTACAGTGTCAGAGGAAAGAGTTACGTTGAGAAGCAAAGGACAAGGACCTTCTCAGCAACACCCAGTCATTCTGTGATGTAACACAAGCTAGTGATGTTGTGAGTTTTCCCTCTAGCAGACGAAGTCACCATGCAGTTTGCTACAGTCTTCATGCCTTCCTTGGGAGAGATCTGCATGCTTCCGAAGCAGGAGTCCTGATTTGATGCTGTAAATGGCAGGACTATTTGCTGACTCCACACAGCAGTTATTAAAGAGATCTTGCAAAATGAGTATCTTTATGATTATATGTGCTATTTTCTCAAGTCTCAGATTTTCAGGATCTTTTATTATGTCTCCGGTTTCTTTATTAGAAAAAAGCTCACTCCCAACTATGGATATCAGGCCTGTATCCATCTGCTTACTGGTTTGGGCAGGCACTGGTGGATATTCCTTTGTATTTCCTGATCCTCCTCCTAATGCAGATATTGGACTACATGTTCAGCCCAGATGAGATTATATTTATAATTCAAAACCTGTTAATTCAGGTAAGTAGACAAAATGACAAGATGAATTTAGTACATTATTCTTCATTAATGCAGTAACATTAACTTATCTTAACCCAAAGAGCTTCAGATTACCCGTGCAACGCCTTAATATTGGAGGATTGAGGTTTAAGTCTGAAATACTGATTTCATCCAAAGGTAACATTCATTTCACCCAAATGTAATACTTCAATTTTCAGATCCCGTGTAGCATTGGATACGTCTCATCTCTTGTCTTCTTGACATATGTGATTTCCTTCATTTTTCGCAAGGGGAAAAAAAACAGTGGCATTTGGTCGTTTTGCTTTATGATTGTAAGTATGTATATACTGTGTATTCTTTTATTTAAATACATTTTGCATAAATCTAGGCACCTATATTTTAATCTGTGCACCAAGCATAATGGTAAATTAATATTGCTCTTTCAGCAATTTGCTTTCTTCACAGATAGTTATGTTGTGGTCAAGTCAGCTCTGCTCTATGGTGATCTATGTCAAACAGAAAGAAATAGGTTCTAGTTCCTGTGCTATCTTCATGATCATTGGCATGTTTCAGTTCATTGTGTGGCAGTTGCAGAGAAGAAATATATGTGTGGGTACCATGAAGGGACTTCACAAAGTTCGTGGAAAAATTCCATCATCTTTCAAATCCATTTCTCCCTGAATATTTTGAAGACCCTTCAAATATTTGTCATAAATTGATTGTTCTCCAACACGTCCTTCCTTAATGTTGACCTCCCCAATGAGCTGGAGACTCCTACCTCAAATAATTCCCTTAAAATTATATATGGATATTGAAAAAAAATCTCAATGGTGCCACATCTCAGATATAGCACTCTGCAAGTCTACTCCCCCACTTTTCTTAGACTATATTGCATCATTGCCATACAGTCTACCTAGATTCTTGGTAATACCAACACCTAGAGTCATCCTTGATTCCCATCTTTTCCTCTCTTCTCATTCAACCAAATTGCAAGTACTTTATCCTCTAAATATTGCCTAAGTCCGTTTACTGCTTCCAAACTTCACTGTCACCACTCTTCTTGTATTTCATCATCTTTCATTTCATCATTTCCAGCCTGGAGTATTGCAGCAGGTCTGTAACTGGCTACACTGCTGTACTCTTGCCTCCCATCATTTATTTCCCAATAGAAACCAGAGTAATATTTTTAAAATAAGGCTTTATTAGAAAGTATAACTTATGGACTATCAGGAGGGGCCACCTCCTGGAGAAGGACATCATGCTTGGCAAACTGAAGGGTCAGTAAAAAAAGGGAGACTCCCAGTGCGATGGATTGGCACAATGGCAGTAACAATGGGCTCAAGCATAATGATTGTGAGGTTGGTGCAGGACTGGGTGGTGTTTCGTTCTGTTGTGCGTAGTCACTATAGGTCAGAACGAACTACATCCAGTCACCTAGCAACAACAATGTAGAGAATAGTGCATACATTGTAAGTGCACACCTCAATAAAAATGCTTAAATGAACATTTTCTGGACACCACCACACACATAAAAAATATATATATAACATTATCTGAGCCTCAGAAGCCCCCTCATGCCCACTCCAAGCCTTACTCCTGACCCTTAAGAAACTACTTTCCTGAGTTATAATATCATAGGTTGCTTTAGCCAGTTTCTGAATATCATATAAACAGAATCCTACAGAGTACATGGAGTCCTGATGTGGCACTATAGGGTAATGCACTGGACCGCGAGGTCAGTTTGAACCACGAGGTCGATGGTTCAAACTCACCAGCTACTCCTCAGAAACCTATACATGGTCGCTATGAGTCAGAACTGACTCAATGGCACTTAATAACAATTTACATAGCTGTTGTTGGTAAATGCCATCAAGTCGGTTTTTAATTATAGTGACCCTGTATAGGGTTTCCAAGGAGCGACAGGTGAGGTTGAGCAGGTGGTAAGTTTGAAGCATTATCCTTGCAGTTCAAACTGATTTTGTGGTCAGGTCCAAAATTTATAGTTCGTTGCTTTCAATTGCTGCAGTCTTTACTGAAGAGTCTTCTATAATCAGTTTATGCCTTCAATTGTTGACAGACATGGCGTGACTTCCTGTTTTGAATTTTTATGAACAGTGATATCCTGAAGTGATTCCTGGTGACGCTGTAGGTTAGGCGTTCAGCTTCTCACTACGAGGCCAACACATCAAACCCACAAGCCTCACCATGGGAGCATATGAAGCTGTCTGTTTCCATAAAGCTTTTCAGTCTCGGAAACCCTCCACAGGGTTGCTGTGTGTCTGGAATGACTTGAGGTCACTGGGGATTTCTCTGATGTTGTCATGAACTTTCTTGTATGCCTTTTAGTGCACAGATATTCATCTTTAGTGCACAGATGTGCATCTTAGGGTGTAAAACTAAGAATAGGATTACTAGATAATAAATTATTCATGTATTCAGTTCAGTAGATCTTGCCAACAGTGTCTCAAAGTGGTGCACGACCAGCAGGGTGGAAAATTTCAGTGGGTGATATGCAGGATGCTTAATAGCTCTACCAACATTTGGGGGGGAAAAATTAAACAAAATACAACAAATAAACGGGATTTATAAAAGACAAAATTATTTCCAAACTGGGTTTAAAAAGAAAAGTCAGCTGTATGTTGTTTTAACAAACACACCTAAGTTATAGACAGAAATATACAAGGCATTTTTTTTTAAATAGATTGGTTTACAAATAACAGATAAAGTAAAATTCAAGAATAAATATACTAAGTTAGTAAAAAAAAAAATTAAAAAGAATACAGTGAGATATAGTCTAATCTCTAAAAAAGATACAAGACTCAGATCCCGTTTGAACAATAAAAATATACACACTAGCAACACACATAACACAAACATTCCTAAAGATACAGGCAAACTTAAATCACCTCTTTTAGGTTGGAAACAGAATGAATCATCATATAGAGACGTAAATAAAACACTGCACAAGTTGGATTTGATTAGATCAGTAGACAGAAATCAGCTGTATATGGACAGCAAGTTTGTTGTTGCTGTTAGGGGCCATCGAATCGGTACCGACTCATAGTGACCCTATGCACAACAGAACAAAACACTGCCATGTCCTGGGCCAACCTCACAATTGTTGCCATGCTTGAGCCTGTTGCTGCTATAACTGTGCCAAGCCATCTCATTGGGGTCTTCTTCTTTTTCTCCAACCCTTTACCAAAAAGGATAATCAGATAATCAGATAATCAGAATCAGAGAGCAAAGTGTGCTGGTTTCAGAAAAACAGAAACATTTTAACCTGACTTGGAAGGACATCAAACTTTACTCTGCCCTCTACATGCAATTCTGATAAGGGAACATGAGTTGATAAAATTCTGATGTTGTTAAGTACCATCAAGTCGGTTCCGACCCATAGTGACCCTTATAGGGTTTCTGAGGAGCAGCTGCTAAACTTAAACCACTGACTTTGCAGTTCAAACCAACATTGCAGTCCAGCACACAACTCACAACGCCACACCAGGACTCCAAAATTCTGATAATTATGTCTAAAAAGAGATATTGAACAGATAGTCTAGGAAAAAGTAACTGGAACCTCTAGGAGAAGGATGTCTTTCCTGCTGAGTATGGGTACTGAGGACTTTTAACTGAATTGGGGTGTGGTCCACGGTCCCACAGTGAGCTTGCTCCTTGTCCCTAAGATGTATTACTCCCTGGGTAAAGTGAAAATTGATGTACAGCATCAGACCTGCTTCCCTGAAGCAAGCACCAAGTCTACAATACATGACCCAAGCTGAGCACACCACATTCATCCTTGTTCTTAGGCTTCAAAGACATTAACAGAAATCAATACTCAACTTCAAACTATCTATTAGAGGAACAGACAAGGAAACGTCACTGTGATGAAAGATATGTGCAAAGGAAATTGTAAATACGTTATCAGGGTAAATGAAAGATCTGAAATGAAATGCACATGTTAAATGTGTCCAAAATAAAAAGATACATCATGCCAACTTTGTAAACACACACGATGATATGAAAAGTCTGAAAGGAATTAACAATAGCTAACAAACACAACAAACACCAGCTGCTCCTCAGAAACCATTTACAGGGTCGCTTTGAGTTGGAACCGACTTAACAGCAGCAAACAGCATTAGCAACAACTAATGCAAAGCACTGGTCCAGCAGCTGGAATACAGATGCAGAACAATGGCGTCTCCAGGAGAAACTTGGTCTAGAAAACATTTCTAAAGCACTGGTTTAATAAAGCAAAAAGATCAGTGAATCAATCATAAAAACACATTCATCAAGAAAAATAAGATATAATAAAGATCAATATCATTATCAAACTAATAGTGAATTCTGAAAATGGCCGAAAATCTAATCACATATATAACATAAAAGATTAAGAAAACAACCCCCACCCCCCAAAACCAAACAAACAAACAAAAAGTAGATGCAAAGGATAAACCCAATCCAGTATAAGAATAATTAATGGTGCTGATGTGGTAAATTCCGTTGGGCATGTAATTAGTATTGTAGTGAAAATAATTTTCTGACAGCAAAATTGGTGAATTATTTTATATTCATTCAAAGAAACACTACACAGTTAAGAGAATAAATAGCTAACATACCTAGATGTAAAAGTTCGTTCAAGACCTATTGTGAAATGAAAATAAAAATAAAAATGTAGAGTATCATGTAATTTAAAAAAAAACAAAAACCTCCTTTATCAGACTGAATTTTAACAAGATCTCCAGAGGAGATGTATGTACCTTAAGTACTTTAAGAAGCACTGTTCTGTCTCTTAAAACCTTCATAATCCAATAGAGTTGTATTGTATAGAGGAAAAAATTGGAGAGTGAGCGGCAAATTAGTGTAAGAACTGCCTACCATTTGGAAGCATAGTACAATCAGAATGATACATTTTAGTGAAACTTCACCGTGCTTTTATTTTAGATCACCATCTTCACGATAGTTGCTACTGATGTAAACGAGTATGGATTCCTCGGACTATTTTTCTGCACCTTATTAATACCACCTTTCACTCTGATTGGTTCTCTATTCCTTTATTTTGAGGTGAGTAATTCCACGAATGTCCCAGTTACAACAAATGGGTGGCCATTTGATAAAATTTTGATGTCTGAAATCTGATTTTGGAAATCTAGTTCTCTTACTACAGGCCAAGGTCATGTCCTCACTCAACTGGCTTCTGTAGGTCTGAGGCAAATCCAGGGGAGTAAATGGATTGGCAAAGGGGGGAGGGGGGGCAGCAAAGAGCTCAGGTGCAGAACGATTGTGTGGTTGGTCCAAGACAGGGTAATATTTCTTTTTGTTGTGCACTGGGTCATTACAAGTCAGTACTGACTCGATGGCACCTAACAACAACAACAAAGAATTTTACAGTTCTCATAACCCTCAAGCTATTTGGTAGAAGGGTAAAGAAGTCCCTGTCTCCTTTGATGTTTTGAATGTTAGTAGAGGTGGATTATAGAGTTACTTATGTTTATCTACTGATCTGTAGTGAAATTTTTCACATGGGTTTTTGAAAAACATGTAAAACTGTTCACTGCAGATTACTAGGCAAGCACAGGAAAGCCTGTGCCTATCTTTCTTACTGTCAGGGTTTGTAAACTTTGCAAGGGTCTTTGTTTCTGTGGGAAGATGCTATGCATTTGGGAGACAGATGTTAGCCATACCATGCGGCAGAATTTTTGATGTGGTGAAAAAAATATGAAAATTGTGATCACTACAGAATAGTAAGCAAACACAAAATCACATGTCTACTTTGCTTATTTGGTTACCTGATACTGCATGTTAGGATAAAGTTGCTTAATAGACATACAGCTGGAGCCCTGGTGGAATTGTGGGTTAGGTGTTGAGTTGCTAACCACAAAGTTGGTGGTTCAGCCCACCAGCCACTCCATGGAAGAAAGATGCTGCTGCCTTTTCCTATACAGAAATACAGTGTCAGAATCCCTATAGAGGGTAACTATGATCAGAATCAACTGGACGGCAGCAGGCTCATTAAACATATCGAGGGAAGTGTCATATAAAAATCTGGCTATCTGAGTCTGGACTTGAGTGTGTGCGAGCGCATGGACAGAAATGAAATATCTGAGACCCATTACTATATACGTTTTCCAAACCATGGAAAAGTTTATCATTAGATCAACTAACACTAGAAATGAAGAGGATGAAGGACTTGGTCTTGAATTCACAAATCTAGAGATTGGGAAGAGGAAGAGTCAGGAAACAGTTGGAGAAAATGCCAGTAACAAAGACGTGAAAAACCAGAGAATTACTACATTTCAGAATCTCTTCTCAGACACTCTCCTTACCACTAAAAGTGCCAGTATATAGTTTATACCAGATGGCAACAAAGAAGGTTTCTGAGGAAAGACCATCAGATTTTGCTATATAGAGGCCAGTGGTGATTCTAATGAAATCGATTTCAATTAAGGGTGAATATGAAACTTCAATACATCTGAAATAAATAGAGAATGTGATGTGAGAAAATAATGTCAGTGGATATAGACAAATATTTGTTGGAGTTTTGTTTAAAAAAAAGGGGGGGGGTAGCTGAGAGTTGGAAGTGTAGATGGATGGGAAGGGTAGATTTTTGTTTATTATAAGAAGGAAGACACTATGGTGATATTGAGAAATTGGTAGTAGAAATGAGAGAAAGTAACTACCTAAGAAGCCAATTTCTTGGTAGTTGAAACAGAATAGCATACAATGTTCAGTTGGAGGAGTTGACTTCCATAAAAGCAGGGACATTCATCTACTTAAGAAGAACATGAGCAGAGAATATGAATACAGATACAGGTCATTTACTGGCGCTGCTGGTAGAAATCTGAGATGGTTCTTTTACAGATGATTGTAGCTTCTTGGGAAAATAAGAGATGATATCAGAGGTAAAGGCAAAGAAGGAAATAAGAACTGAGAGGTAAGTGGAGAAAGACTGGAGAAAATTGTTGTTGTTATTAAGTGCCATCGAGTCAGTTCTGACCTGAACTGTTGTTGTTAATGCTATCGAGTCATAGCGACCCTGAACAGGGTTTCCGAGGCTGTAAATCTTTACAGGAGCAGAAAGCCTCATCTTTCTCCTGCGGAGCAGCTGGTACTTTTGGACTGCTGACCTTGCAATTCACAGCCTGATTCATGACCACTATGCTACCAGTAGCTCTGGTAGCCTAGTGGTTGAGGGAAAAGAGACAATAGAAATTCATTTACAGAATGAATAGGATTGGCAGTCAGAGCTAAAGGCCCACCTATCCTACTTTTCAAGTGAAGCCAACATAGTTGAGTATCCTTGTCCTTCTTGTCTGTTTCTAATGTGCAGCTTAGAGCAAGTAGAAATTTGGATTGAACCAAAATTGGAATTTTCCCTGTCCAGTCTGAGAAATTATAGGGTAAAGGAGTAGGGGTTCTATGGAAGGAAGAAAGGCAGTGAAGCAAGGAATATAAACTGGGAGAGGAGGGAATTAGGATCATAAAGTAGATTATACACAAAGATAAAGTGGTGGAATTGGCTGATTGGAGGGCTATCAACTCCATACAGTAAGAATATTAGAATGAGAGAGTTGAAAAAGAAAATGTAAAATGGCAGATGGGACAGGGACCTTGAAACTGATTTTGGACCTGGTACAGTGATTGGAGTGGATGACTCCTAAGTGGATGACTTCTAAAATCATTTTAAAAGATGTCAGAGTCCTGGCAAATTATCCAATGTGAATAAAGCAACAGATGGTGGATAGTTATGACGTTGTTACTGTTGTTGTTAAGTGCCACAGAGTCGATTCTGACCCATAGTGACCCTGTAGGATTTCCAAGGAGCAGCTGGTGAGCTTGAACTACTGACCTTGCAGTTCAAATGGCTTTGCAGTCTGGCGCATTAGCCCACAAAGGCACACCAAGACTTAGGTAACATCAAATTGGTTCCACCTCATAGTGCCCCCATATACAATTCCTGCACCATCCCCACAACCTCACTGTGTTTGAATCCATCATTGTAGTTACTATGCCAACCCATCCTATTGAGGGTCCTCTCTCTCCCCCATCACTCTACATTACCAAGCATGCTGTCCTTCTCCAGGGACTGGTCCCTCCTGATCACATGTCCAAAGTACATGAGATAAAGCCTCAGCATCCTAGCTATCAAGGATCACTCTCACTATACTTCATCCAGGACACATTTACTCATTCTACTGGCAGTCCATGGTATAGTTTCTACTTGGACATAAAATTGCTCAAAAAAAAAGTTTTAGTGACTACTATTCAAGAAAAAAACATATCCTTTAGCTCTATATTGAATCTTTGATGTTGTTGTTGTTAGGTGCCATAGAGTCAGTACCGACTCATAGTGACCCTATGCACAACAGAACGAAACACTGACCGATCCTGGGCCAACCTCACAATTGTTGTCACGCCTGAGCCCATTGATGCTGCCATTTTGCCCATCCATCTCATTAAGGGTCTTCCTCTTTTTCTTTGACCCTCCACTTTACCAAACATGATGTCCTTCTCCAGCGACTGGTCCCTCCTGACAATATGTCCAAAATATGAGAGACAAAATCTGGCCATCCTGGCCTCCATAGAGCACTCTGACTACACTTCTTTCAGCACAGATCTGTTTGTTCTTTTGGCAGCCCATGGCACTTTCAATATTGGACCTTACTCTATACTTACTAAAGACTTGATGGATGTTGCAAAATATACTGTAAATCTAATGAACACCATGGACTCCTCTATTATTTTAAAAAATGCACTTACATGTATGCAAAACTCCAGGTGGAGAACTGTGTCTTCAGTGTGAAGCAATTGTCATGATTATTCTTAGCAATGGGTGTAGTGAAAACAAGAACAGTGTAATGGTTGTAGATCTCTTATGGAGAAAGGAAGGAGCACAAATGAGAGAAAGGCAACTTTCTCTTAAGGGAGAGAGTGTGTCTTAAGACCAATGTTCTCATGGTTCCTACAGGTCCAACTGGTATCGCTCAGGATCCCCCCTGTAGGTACATAGTAACTCACAGTGCTACATCTGAGATGATCTCACTCTATTACCAAGCACAGGCTAAGAGTTTACTGAGAGATCTCACTCTATTACCAAGCACAGGCTAAGAGATCATCTGAGATGATCTCACTCTATTACCAAGCACAGGCTAAGAGTTTACTAAGAGCGAGGAAGCTATACTGCACAGCCAAAATGTACTTTGACCTGCTACACGAGGTAGAATTAAATAGACAAAATGGTGAGGCAATAAAATGGACACCAATTTGTCTTATGTGGGGTGAAACCTCACAACAGATGAAAGAAAGTTCACCAAAACTCTTTTTCTCCTCATTTTACAGATTTCTCCTGATTCTATGGATTATTTAGGACCTTTGGAATCTCAAATTATATTTCTGGCATTGCTCATAGTAAGAAACCATTTCAATTTAAACATTTTGCATGAGAGGGCATAATATTGGTATGCTTTCAGTTTCTGTGAATTACATCAAATTGAAAGTTTGGGGCTTTAAAATCTGGACCACTTTTTTTTTTATTTTTTTTTTATCTTTTTATTGTGAATTAAGTGAAGGCTTACAGATGAAATCTTCACTTTTATAGCCAACAGATCTCACAGTTTCATGTAAATTTCTGCAACCCTGTCCATTTAAAACCAGTGAATCTACTTCTTCCCCATGGTTCCTATTTCCATTCCAACCTCCTTCCCAACCCCTCTGAACCTTGTCCTTACGTAAATGTTGCCCTTTGATCTTGAACAGTTGCCCATTCCATGGTGAGCATACCTCACTAGTGTTGTTGTCCTCCTATATACTCATCTACTGCTTGGTTGAATATTGTACCATGAGGGTGAGTTCCTTTCCAGACCTAAAGGTGACAGACGGCCCTAGTCTCAGGTTATTCCAGTCCTTTTCTGACCAGTAAGTCCAGTTATTGTTGTTGTTTTATAATTTTGTGTTTTGCTCACATTGTTTCCCACACTACCATGGACCATTCTAATGTCATCCCTTTGGAGCATTTGGTAATAGAAGCTGGGCACCATCTAGTTCTTCTGGTCTCAGAGTCATGGAGACGGATGTTCACATGCTCCATTGGCCCATTGGACTAATTGATTCCAAGAATCTTCAATTCCCATCACTCTTCTTTCTTCTGCTCATGGAGAGACCAATAGCTGCACCTTAAATGGCCACTCATGAGCTTATAAAATCCCAAGTTGCTACTTACCAAAAAAGTGTGTACAACATTGCCTTTGTGAAGTGTACTATGCCAAGTGACCACGGTGCTGGACCACGATTGTTATAATAATCATCTCATGCCAAGTGTGAAGTCCAAATTCATAATGGCCTGAATTGTACCAACAACAATTTACTACTATTACATTTCTGCCATACTTTCACAGAATAGCAGTAATGCTAACTTTGAGAGTTTTATAGAATTTTAACTAAACTGTCTTTCAAACTTGTAACCATGTTATCAAATCTGTCCTATATATAATCAAACTTCTCCAATCAATTCCGATATTGAAATAATTGGATTTTACATTGTTACTGATTTTGACTATCTTTCTTTTTTCCTAGCCATACCTTCATTTTTTTATTTTCCTTTTTGTGCTGCGGTGTCTGGAAATGAACTTTAGGAAGAAATCAATAAGAAAAGATCCTGTGTTCAGGTTGAGAAAATTCAAATACAATTTTGTGTTTTTTTAAATTTTATTATTTTTGGTTTGAGTTTGGGTTTGGTTCTGAAACCCGAGATAAATCTATGGTTTATTTGAATATTCTTTGTTTAAAGATATTTTAATATGCCTAAATTGATGCAGTAAAAACTGCTATATAAGACTCTTTAAAGAACGTATGAGATACGAAAGTATTATAACCCATGATCTGTTACATTAATCAACATACATTCTAGTAAGAGAAATAAATGAACACATAGGTTGTTGTTGTTGTTAAGTGCCGCCAAGTAGGTTCCGACCCATAGTGACCCTATACAGGGTTTTCAAGGACAAACAGGTGAGCTTGAACCACTGACCTTGCAGTTCAAATGGTTTTGCTGTCTGGCGCATTAACCCGCAGTGCCACACCAGGACTCCAAACACATAAGAGACACTGAAAAATTAAGGCTGACCAGGATTTCACTTGTGTGGCAGGGGAAAGTGACATGCAAGTGATAGAATCTTTCAGATGAAGGATGTGTGCAAATAAATAATTGGGTAAGTGCAGCCAAAAGCCAAGATTGAAATGTTCCTGGAGAAAAGAAATCATTTCCATTGAAACATTTTGCATGAGAGGGCATACTATTTGTATACTTTGAGTTTATGTGAATTACATCAAACTGAGAAGTTTGGGGCATTTCGAGTATCTGCAGCATCACATGGTTTTAAAATCTGGACCACTATTTTTTTTTTTTTAACTTTTTCTTGTAAATTGAGTGATGTTTTACTGAGTAAATCTTCAATTTTATATCCAACAGATCTCACACTTTTATATTAACGCCTCCATTTAAAAACAGTTTTCCACTTATTCCCTATGGTCACTATTTTCATTCCACTCACCATCCCAAGCTGTCTGGTAGGGGTAGATTTCTGAAAGTAGCTAGCAAGAACTAGACGTCTTATAATATCGGATAACAGAAAATTAACTGGAATCTAGAAATTGATGGCTAGAAATCGGGAAACAGAGGGAAGGTCTTGTGAATTACATACTGGGAGACATAAACCAGGAGCATCTTGAACACCTTTCACCCTCATAAAATATGAATGATGCTCAAGTCTAATGTAGTGGTAAAACAGGAGAACAAGTTGACAGTTGGGATTTAGGAAATCATCTGACAGCATTAATTTGGGGTGGCATGAGAGAGAGAGAGAGAGAAGAATCAGCAGTGATTGGTGAGGGGGGTGATAAAGGAAAGAAAGGAATTGCTACCAGTGGGCCAGCAGGGAGAAAGTGGTTCTGACGGAGGAGACCCAGGTTCCATTCCTAGTTAATGCTCCTCAGGTACAGCCGTCACTTGTCTGTCAGTGGAAGCTGGGATATTGTTTTGATGCTGAACAGATTCCAGCGGATCTTTCAGACTGAGGTAGACTAGGAAGAAAGACATGGCAATCTACTTTCAAAAATCAGTAATTGAAGACTATTCATTCAGCCATTGAAAGCACTGTGTATCACAATGGTCTGGGCTTGTGGTTTATGGGGCCGCCAGGAGTCCAGGTCTGGCTTCATAGCAGTAGCAACAACAGCAGTGTGGTGATTTTATGGCCCGGATTGATTTTCTGTGACACACCTGCAATTTCAACTGTTCTAACCATTGTTTTCACAAGGTCTTCATAATTACAAAAGATCACGTCCAAATTACATTTCCTAGATTTCTTTGCCCACGCATCCCAGTCCCCAGTTCCTTTGCCAGATGGTGTGTGATATTTTGTTATTTGAAACAGGAAGTTCACTTTAGACGAGGAGAATTCAATTTAAGCAGGAAACAAAGGTGACATGCCAGTAGTATTGGTGGAAAAAATGAGGTTGTTGAAAGACAGATGGTGTGTAGTAGAAGAAAGGAGATTATGGCATGGTTAGCAGTATCCAGAAAATACATTCTTTTTGCTACTTCATCTAAAACCCGTTCTTTTCATACTACTTTGAATTTAGGATTTCTCCAAGAAGCAGCGACATTTCTCCAAACCCAGAGGAGCCTGAAGGGGAGGATGAAGATGTTCAGGTGGAAAGAATGAGAACAGCAAATGCTATGGCTGCCCCAGACTTGGACGAGGTAGGTTTTACAAAACCGGTCTTCATCAACAAATTCTCTCTGTCACCTTAAGGGAACAATTTTGTAACATCAACTTCTGAAAAACATTGGAGGTTCTCCTTACTTGACTTCTGTGGATAGACAACACCCAAAAATCAAAGTGACCAAAGGACACATACACAGCAACTCTCTAATTCATTTCTGTCACAGTTTTGGCAGATACTGCTAAACAATACAGAACCTAAGGAAACTGCTATGAGCTTTAGAACCTGAGTTACGTTTACTCGAAGAAATTCAGAGTAGAGGTGCATGTGCATGCATATTTCAATGTCTCTTTTTCTTGTTTTAAAGCTTTTATAGTGAAGGTTTAAAGGGCAGATCATCAGTTTTACATTCAACAAATCATTGCAATGATTACAATCCCCTCCATGTACCCTCAGTCAACAGTATTTACCTCTATTACCTTTTCTGTTTATGGATACAGTAGGGCTGTGGGCTAATGTGCTGGACTGCAAAGTCGTTTGAACCACAAGATCGGTGGTTCAAGCTCACCAACTGCTCCTTGGAAACCCTATATGGGGTCGCTATGGGTCAGAAACAACTCGACAGCACTTAACAATAACAAAACCACATTGAAAACATATTATTTTCAATAACTTAAATATAAATTAAATGTCCAAAGAACAAATTTTGCAAGCCAGCCTCTTGCCCATAGGCACACTGCCTTTCTCAGTCCGTAGGTTTCTAGTCCTCTGCTGCTCTGTCTCTCTATGCCATCGCCTCTGCCACTATCTCTAGTGTCACCGCTTTTCTGTAGGATCCCTTGCTCCTCTCATGCTCATCCCTCTTCATGGTCCTAGGGTCCATTCTTCCTGAAATGACAGATTAGCTGCTCCCCACTTCTAGTTATAACTAGTCTACATTTAGAGTTGTGGCAATCTCCATGAGTCCTGATAATACTTAACCACATTGAATCATAAAATCCTATCCCCATCATCTGGTAGAGAGGAAAACTGTCCAGTGGCGATTCTATCTTACCTCCCTCATTCTGACATGAGCACCTTCATGAAAGCTTATAAACTAGCTATTTTGTGCTTTTATAGCCCCCCAATTTTGATAGCTGAAGTCTATGTTGCCCATCCCTATCATCCCAATGTACTGAGGGGGTAAGCTTGATCCTTGATATGAAGAATCCTTCCTTTTCACTTGGAATTTTTGGCAACTTCATTCAAAAGCAAAGGTCTGGCTCATTCATGCATCTTTTTTTCTAAGTTATTTTTGTTGTTGTTGTTGAGATTCTACACAGTAGGACATACACCAATTCATCAATTTCTACATTTATAGTACAGTGACATCGGTTCTACGTTCTTTGACCTGTGTAACCATTCTTACTCTACTTTTCTGAGCTGTTGCTCCATCATTAACATAAACCCACTGCCTCTTAAGGGTCCTATCTAATCATTCGAGTTATTGTTGTCAGTTTTATTCCATATAGACAGTTCTTTAAAAAGCATAATGCTCGAGGCAGAAATTCTTCACTAAATAGTTCAGCTGAACTGTAATTTGTTTTTTTTTGGTGTGTGTTTTGACAGACCCATTGGTTTGGTGGATCTTTGTTTCTAGTCACTGAAGACAAGTTTGCTTGCCAAATCCCGTGATCCAGGATGAAAGCCCTTGTAGCTGCAGGGCAGGGTATAGGCTGGGAGGGAGCCCTTGAAAATGGGAGTCCCGGGTAATGAGGCTGCCGACAGTTCCAGTTCACCCAGAGGTGCTTTCAGAAGGAAAAAGCGGCTATCTACATTCAGAAAAATCAGCCACTGAAAACCTTGGGAATTCTACTCTGGCCCATGGGGCCACCGTGAGCTGGAGCTGTCAGGAAAGGACTGGCTTGACTCGAGACTTTGCAGAGGGTCAGGTCCGTCCATCAGAGGGAGACTGAAGCACTCTGAATTCAAAGAAACAGTAAAGCCCCTTTGCTATTTTCTTGTCTTTTCAGAAGCCAGTCATCATCGCCAGTTGTCTACGGAAGGAGTATGAGGTCAAAAAGAAACACTGCTGTACAAAGAAGAAGAAGAAAGTAGCCACAAGAAACGTCTCTTTTTGTGTTAAGAAAGGTTGGAAAAAGTAGTTCAGTTTGCAGATGAACTTTGACCACTGAAGATTAGGTTTTTTGAAGGGAAGAACAGTATCTAAACCTGAGACACCACTTCATAGAAAGAAAAACTGTCAGGACACCACCAGGCTAAGGCTGACCTATCCCACCTGAACATTTCAGATGTTATTATAGCAAAGTTTTCTCTTTGCATTTACATTTAAATGTATAATAGTTCTGTTAAGAAGGGTGGGTTAGATTTCTATCTATTGCAGCTGAATCGAGTCCAACTCAATAGTGACCCAATAGAACAGAGTAGAGCTGTCCCCACTGACTATTGAGAAACTACCCCATCTTTCTCCCATGAGGTGGCTGGTGGATTCAAACCGCCAACATTTCATTTAGGAATTTAGTGCCTAACCACTGACCACCAGGGCTCCTTACAGATTTCTAGGTGACATAATTTCATGACAGTGGATACTATACAGAAGGGGACTGACCAGGGCAGAGTAGGGTGATACAGTCTTCATTCCAAAAACAGCACATTTTTTTGATAGTGTTGAAAAGTGGCAAAGGGTCTCAGAATCAAGATTTCTTTTCAAATTCCAGCTCAGTCTCCACTTGGCTGCATAATCTTGGACAACTTATTCTATTTAAGCCTGAGTTTCCTCACCTATAAAATGTGGTTAATAATAACTCTTAGGGAGGCAGGTACGTGTGTGAAGAATAAAAGGAACAGCGTACTAACACATTTGACACAGTGCTTGGAGCATAGCTAGCCCTTGTGTGGTAGTTTTGTATCTATTATGTTATAATGTGAAGTTATCATTCTGATTCTATTTCTTTCAGGTGAAATTATAGGGTTGCTGGGACACAATGGAGCTGGTAAAAGTACAACTATTAGGCTGATCACTGGAGAAACCAAACCAACAGCAGGCCAGGTGGGACCAACACTCAGAAACGTGGTAGTTAAGGAGGCCTAGAAAAACATCTTTTCACAACTAATAATGATAGTAATGTTGGAAATACACAGATGATCCTTTCTTATCAATCAATATGATTTATGCATGGAATGAAGAATATTAATTTAATACTTCTCTCCTTAATGCCCAAAATTATTTAATGAGGAGGGTTCCATATGGTTTATACTATGCTGTGTTTGTTATTGTTGTTGGTGTTTTAGTACCATCAAGTCGGTTCCGGCCCACAGTGACCCTGTCTAAAAACCACCAACCTGTGGTTCAAATGACTTTGCAGTCAATAATGTTATTATTCATTGTTATTGTTAGTTGCAATAAAATCTTTCTTCAGAAACTCTTATAGACAGTAAAAGGACATTTGTGCATGTTGAACTAAGGGATCTTTGGGCTTAGACTGATGTATCTCAAGGGCTTGTTGAATCAATTGACCTGCCCCGTGTTTCTCCGGGAGCCATTGTCATCGTAAAGATAAGCACCACTTATGTGGCCACAGGATCATGGATCTTTCTGCATGATGACTGGTCTCTTACCTGTGTGCCATGAATTTTATGTGTAACTTGCATAAAAGAGCTCACTAGCAAGTACGATTTCATGGGTCTTCACTGAGAGCCTATGGGAGCAGATGCTTACATAATTATTGGGGTGTCTCCAGACCCAATCGATGTAATGGTGCAGCCAGTAATAATATATGCATTGAGCATCTGAGGGTGTTGCCACAGACACAATGGAATTCATGAAGCACGGTGATGAGGCTGGGGCAGTTTTAATAGACCTAGGATTTGTTAGGAGCTCTGGTAGTGTAGTGGTTACGAATCGGGCTGCGAACTGCAAGGTCAGCAGTTCGAAACTACCAGCTGCTCCGCAGAAGAAAGCTGAGGCTTTCTGCTCCCGTAAAGATTTACAGCCTCGGAAACCCTGTGTAGGGTCGCTATGAGTTGGAACCGACTCCACGGTACATAACAACAACAACAACAACAGGATTTATTAAGACAATAGTGATCACAGGTTACAGAATACATTTCCAAATTCCAAAAGAAACAATAGGATAATGTCTTAATACTTGCTTAGTGATATGTCAGGTCAAGTTGTGCTTGTAAGGGGAGACAATATGAATATTGGCTATAAGGTCAAGAGTGAATGTTCAAAGAGGACATGGAGAGAGAGAGCAGCTGAGGACTCTAAACTCATGGAAAGAGAAAGACTGAGTACTGGAGGCCAGGAGGCAGGCTTACAGAATGTGCCCTTTGGTTGTTTAAATGGTTATATTGTCCTGAATGTTTTTATGTACATCACTCCCCCAAAAAACCACAAAGAAACAAAAGGAATACATACAAAACCCTTAGATTCTGGCACGCAGCAACCACGGGGTACTTATTAGCACAGTGTATAACTTGTAAAAAAAAAAAAAATAATAATCAATGCTATGTATTTCCTGGCTGTAATGTACCAGTAATGCCTTGATATGCTTGAGTTGTGGTGTTAGAGAAAAATTTTAAAGGTAGCATGGACTGCCAAAAGAACAAGCAAATCTGCGTTGGAAGAAGTACAACCAGAATGCTCTTTAAAAGTCAAGATTACCAGACTTCATCTCTCATGATTCGGATATATTATCAGGAGGGACCAGTCCCTGGGGGCCAGAAAAAAAGAGGGAGACCCCCCCAGCTAGATTGGCACAATATCAGCAGCAGTGGGCTCAAGCATAACAGTAATTGTGAGTCTGGCACAGGCCTGGGCGCTGTTTTGTTCTGTTGTACACAGGGTCACTATGGGTGGGAAACAGCCTGACAGCATCTAAAACCAAGGACAATATAATGTACCAGGTATAGTGCTAAGAGCTTTTCATTTATTCTCTTAATTCCGGGTTTCTCAGTCACGGTATTATTGACATTGGACACAAGGGTCACTAATTCATTGCAGTGGGTACCTGTCCTATGGATTGTACATTGTTTAGTGGCATCCTTGGCACCTCCCAACTTGTTTGTTGTTAGGTTCTGCCTCCTAGTACCCCTATGCACAACAGAATAAAACACTGCTTGGTCTTGCACCGCCTTCATAATTGTTGTATTTTAGCCCATTGCTGCTGCAACTGTGCCAATCCGTCTCATTGGATGGATGTCTTCCTGTTTTTTGCTGACTCTCAACTGTTGTTGTTGTTGTATGGAATAGGTTCCGACCCATAGCAACCCTGTATAGGGTTTCCAAGGAGTAGTTGGTGAGCTTGAACCGCTGAGCTTGCAGTTCAAACGGCTTTGCAATCTGGCTCATTAACCCACAGGGCCACGCCAGGACTCTCAACTAGATAATAGTAATGCTGTTTCCCAACTGTAAGAACCAAAATGGCTCCAGACATGACCTAATATCCCCTATAGAGATTAGTAAGGTGTGAGGAAGCTGTGATAGTAGGGGGGAAGAATCTTTACTGATTGAAAGCCACTGCCTTATTTAATCTTTACCACACACTTGTGAGAAAGATTCCACTATAAACACAAACATTTTACCAGTGGGAAAAGGAAATCTTCATTTGAATGACTGGATCAATGAATGAAGTCAAGCAATGGACAGCCAACAAGCAACCTTGAACTTAACAATGATGATGACATTGGTAATAAACTCTAAATTATAATGGTGGATCATTAACAGAGTGGGATATCTGACTTTGCCATTATTAAAGTTTTAGAGTTAAGCGATCAGTTACCTATTTTTCCCTATTAGCTCCCATTTGTATGAAGAGCAGGGTATCACTGAAACACACACACATAATTTTGGGCGGAATCTTAGAATGAACTCTTTCTGTAGGTGATTTTGAAAGGCAGCAGCAGCAGAGGAGACACCATTGGGTTCCTGGGGTACTGTCCTCAGGAGAACCCGCTATGGCCCAACCTGACTGTGAGGGAGCACCTGGATGCATACGCCGCTGTGAAAGGGCTGAGGAGAGAAAATGCTGTGGCCGCCATTACACGGTACGTGGGGGAGCTACACTCATTATATATTGGGGGGGGAGCTGTGATGGTAATGATGTCCACCCAAGATTAAAGGAAGACAACTCTAACTCATGACCCGTGTTGGCCATTTGGAACCCAATCCAGTGTGGTTTTTGGTTTCTTTCATATTAAGTATGGAGAGAAAATATTTATTGATTATTCTTAATGTGGAAAGAAGTCATTGAAAATATCCATTTAACATCCAAGGAAGGGTGATAAAGTACCATTGTTGTTTGGTGCTGTATGGTTGTGTCTGATTCACAGTGACCTAGGCTCCTGTCCTGAGCCATCCTCACAACTGTTCTGCTTGAGCCCATTACTGCCGCCATTATATTAATCCATCTCATTGGGCATCTTCGTCTTTTTTGTCAACCCTCCACTTTTCCAAGCATGATGTCTTTTTCAAGACACTGGTCCCTGCTGACCACATGTCTAAAGTATGAGAGATGAAGTCTCGCCATCCTGGCTTCTAAGGAACATTCTAGCTGCACTTCTTCCAACACAGATTTGTTTGTTCTTCTGGCAGTCCGTGATGCTTTCAACATCATAATTCAAATGCACTGATACTTCTACAGCCTTCTTTACTCTTTGTCCAACTTGCATATGCATATGAGGTGACTGGAAATACCATGGCTTGGGTTAGTGCTCTTGAGCACTTTAAAGAGGTCTTGCACCTAATCCAATACATCATTTGATTCCTTGACTGTTACTTCCATGAGCATTGATTGTGCATCAAAGCAAAATGAAGTCTTTGACAGTTTCAATTTTTACTTCAATTTTCATGATGCTATTTATGGTCCTGTTATGAGTATTTTTGTTCTCTTTATATTGTGGTACAATCCATTCTGAATGTTTTGATCTTCATCAGTAGCAAGCAAGGTTTTAAGATCTGCATACCACAGGTTGTTAATGAGTCTTCCTCAAATCCTAATACCATGTTCTCATGTAATTCAGTTTCTCAGATTATTTGCTCGGCATACAAGTTAAACACATATAGTGAAAGGATACAATCCTGCCGCACAACTTTCTTGATTTTTTTATTTTTTATTCTACCTTCCCCTGCACACTCTGAAACTAGACTCCCTCTTGAAAACTTGTAAGCCAGTCACTTCATGCCTTTATAACCCCCTCCACCCTATTTTAGGTAGCCAATGTCTAAATTGCCCACCCCTATCAACCCTGTATACAGAGGGGATAGGATTGATACTTAATGAACAACTTTCTTGATTTAAAAACCTTCAGGATCCCCCTGTTCTGTTCTACTGACTGCCTATTGGACTTTGTACTGGTTCCACATAACCACAATTTGTGTTCTGAAAGTTTCATCATTCAGGGGGAATGTAGACTTTATTGTCTCATACTTTTTTTCTCCCTTAAAATCAGGTTAGTGGACACATTCAAGCTACAGGACCAGTTGAAGGTGCCTGTGAAGACTCTATCAGAGGGGATCAAAAGGAAGGTCAGTGGAGGACTCAGGAACACACCACCCATCACACAGACAATGCCCAATATTGTTCCTCTCCTTCCAGCTGTGCTTCATGCTGAGCATCCTGGGGGGTCCGGCAGTGATACTTCTGGATGAGCCATCTACAGGGATGGACCCTGAAGGGCAGCAGCAGATGTGGTGAGGAAAACTTCATGAGTGTTAGGATCATTTATAGTAACCTGATAATAAGTTGAATGTTGTTAAGTGTCATTGAGTTGTTTCCAACTCATAGCAACTATATATAGGGTTTCTGAGGAGTGGCTGGTGGGTTTGAACCAACAACCTTGCAATTAGCAGTTTAATGTTTATCCTACAGCATCACTCCAGGGCTCCAAACTGAATGTTGACCTCAATAAAATGCATACATGTCCTAATACCTAGACCTGTGAGTATTACGTTACCTGGAAAAGCTGTTGCAGATGTAATTAAGTGACAAATTTAAGGATGAGAGGATAATTCTGGATTATCTGAGAGGGTTGTAGGTCCAATGACAAGTGTCTTTACAAGAGAGAGAGACGGGGGGAAATAGCACAGTTGGGAGAGGAGGCGATGTGACCATAGTGGCCGAGATTGAAGTGATGTAGCTACCAACCAGGGGATGTCTGAAGCCACCAGACACTGGATGAGGCAAAGCATGATTTCCCTCCTAGAACTTCCAGAGGTTGTGGGGTCCTGACGATGCCATGGTTTTGGACTTCTGCCCTCCACATCTGTGAGAGAATAGGTCTCTATGGTTTCAAGCAACCGTGTTTGTAGCAACTTGTTACAGCAGCTAAGAGAACCCAGTACAGACCCTAAGTGAATGTATGCTCTTACAACAAATCCCTTCAAATGATTTACTTATATAGTGAAAGTGCCCACATTATCAGAAAAAGTGGTGTTAAGGGGAAAAAAATCATCTGATGTTTTATATCACAGCCTGGTTTTTTTTTTGTTGTTGTTGTTGTTGTTAATGTTTTATTGTGTATTGTGTGATAGTCTACATGGGGGAACATTAGTTTTACATTCCTTCCATCATACATCATCTCATTGCCATAGTTACCATCCCGTCCATGCATCATCACCCAACCTAAGGGTATACCCTGCAATCCCGCCCGCCTTCCCCTCACGGTCCTCAGCACACAGCCCCTCTCCCTCTCTGGATCCTTAGTCCCCAGCCACTACATTTCTTCACGTCATCCTCTCTCTTCATGTCATCCTCTCTGTCTCAGTCTCAGGCCTCACTGCTCCTCTGGGTGGGGTCCCGCTCTCCACTCTTCTCCATTGATGGTCCCAGGGCCCTCCGCTCCTAGACTGAAAGGTTAATCACTCCCCTCCTTTCTATAAAATGTCCACCTTTACATTTCCAGTCTTCACAGTTAGTCCTGGTAACAATTATTTACCCTTGCATTCCAAGGGACCCATCTGCATTTCTTCTCATCTGCCCTTCCTAGACAGGTCAGATACTACTCACTGGACACTCTACCATCCTCCCTGCCCTGTGGATCTAGGTTCCCTCTTGAAAGCTTGTAAGGTTCCCTCTTGAAAGCTTCTTACCTTTGTATTCCTTCTCCCATTTTTGGTTAGTAATGTTCAAGATGCCCATCTCTATCTACTCTTTGTGTGGAGGGGGTGGGAATAATTCTTGGAGCAGGGATTTGTTTCCTCTTTTGAGCTACTGCATTTATAGGTAGATGTCCAGTTTATCAAATTATATCAGATGACACTTTTTTTTTCCCTCTGCTTTCTTCTTTGGGTTGAGCTCTGTTCGTCCCATCATTGGAGCCATGGCAAGTGGGTATCATCTGCAGGTGTGGATGTTCCTGCATCTGTCCGCCCTCTTCTTATCAGTTGGTCACTTCAGTCTCCACTCTAGTCCTCTGTGGATGTGTCACTGACTCTGAGCCCACGAGTCACCAGGTCTTGCCTCACTACAGCCTGTTTTTTTAAGAAATATTTTAGGAACCTAAGATTTTCATGTAGTCCTGGTGTGGCTCTGTGGACTAATGCGTCAGACTGCAAAGTCATTTGAACTGCAAGGTCAGTGGGATGCAGGGTGAATAATTGTTACCAGGGGTCAGAATCGAATCAAAGGCACTTAACAACAACAGCAAGACTTTCATAATTTCTTTTTAAATCTTTTGGGTATATATGGTGCACTTTTATACTTAGTCAAATCCATCTAATATCAAACTTTAAATCTTTCTACAACATCACCTGACACTCAAATCTGATTGAGAGAAGAAAACCAGCTTATATCCTCAATATACTCTAACTGTGATAGGAAATTTTTGAAATCTGTCATTTTGTAACTTTAAAGTATATGTTAATTGTTTTTAGTTAGTTCTCACTTTCTTCTTGCTACCTTCTCATAAATATACTTGGAATTCAACATTTTTCTATATAAACTTTTACCCAACCAAGAAACCAGTTAAGTTCTGTTATTTTCAAGCATTATCACCCCTTCAAAAACCCTTTGTATAATCTGAATTCACTTGATGTTGAAAACTTGGAATTCTCTTTTTTAAAACAAAATTTCTTTTCAAAATTATATTCTATGTTGAGCATTCCCTTTGATTAGCATTTTCCTTAAACCTATATGTAGGCAGGCGATCCGGGCCGCCATCAGCAAAACAGAGCGGGGTGCCCTCCTGACCACCCACTACATGGCTGAGGCCGAGGCCGTGTGTGACCGCGTGGCCATCATGGTGTCTGGAAGGCTCAGGTGGGTGCCCCCCAGGGAGCAGGATGGGAGAGTTTCTCTGTGGAGGGGAGAGGGCACTGTGGGCAATGGGAGGTGATGTTGGCAGCTGATCAGAGGTTCTATGTCATGTTCTTCTTTTTGCTCTGCCTCTTCCTGCTCCTGCCCCAGATGTATCGGTTCCATCCAACACCTGAAAAGCAAATTTGGCAAAGATTACCTGCTGGAGATGAAGGTGAAGGACCCCTCTCAGGTGGAGCCCCTCCATGCCGAGATCCTGAAGCTTTTCCCTCAGGCTGCTCGGCAGGACAGGTAAGCATAGATGTTCTTTACTATTATATTGGTCTTTGGGTTTGTTTGTTTGTTTGTTTGTTTGTTTGTTTGTTTGTTTGTTTTACATGATGACAAGAAACATAAACTTTATTGCTGCATTATTTTGTATCATTCTTATTTTAAACTCTGATCATTGTGAAAACCCAAAACCAAATCCATTGCCACTGAGTGGATTGTGGTTTATAACAACCCTGTAAGGACAGAGTAAAACTACACTGGGGTAATTTCCAAGGCTGAGAATCCTTAGGGAAGGTGAGTTAGAACTGCTGACCTTTCAGTTAGCACTCAAGCCCTTTAACCACTGCATCACCAGGGCTCCTTTTATTTCCTTAAAAAAGACTCAATTCCAAGGGACAGCAGAGGATGGAGAAAAGGAGCAGCTGGTGGGTTTGAACTGCCAAAGTTGTTGTTACTAGCCCATGTCTAACCAACAGTCTCCTTCAGTTAGGTTTAAAATAAACAACTCACTGTCATTATGCCAATTTCGACTCAGAGGGACCCTGATTTCCAAGACGTCAATGAGCACAAAGCCTCCTTTTTCTACCATAGACAGACTGGTGGGTTTGAACTGCCAGCCTTGTGGTCAGCAGTCCAGTGCTCGCCCTACAGCACTATCAGAGATCCCCAGTTCAGTGATTATTTTCAGTAAGTGCTGTGTGGTCAGTTCTGATGTACAGTGACCCTGTGTAAGTTATTGTTAGGTGTGCTCTGACCCATGATGACCTTGTATAGGTAGCGTTTCCGAGGAGCAGCTAGTGAATTTGAATTGCCAACCTTGTGGTTCAAACTGACCTTTCGGTCCAGTGCTTATCCTAATGTCAAATACTAGTGGTGGTGGAGTTAAGAGGTAAATATAGTGGGGGCTTTTTGTTTGTTTGTTTGTTTTAATTGTGATAAAATAAACATGAAAAACTATCATTTTGACAGCTTTTGAGTGTACAATTCAATGACTTCAAATGAAACATTGTGTAACCACGAGTATTAAATCTTTTCAGATCTTCTATATAATACTAATCAGAAATTCTGTACTCATTAACTCAACATATTTCCAAAATTTAAACCATTCAGTGTTCCTTTATTCTGTTCGAATAACTGCCTCTTGGTCTGTGTACATGTCCCTTATGAGCACAATGAAGTGTTCTGGAGTACTCATTCTCCACAATGTTGTCCATAGCTTGTCATGATCCACACAGTCAAAGATACCAAGCTAAGTGAAATGAGCTGACACAAAAAGGCAAACTGTATATGAGCCTGTAACATATGCGATATGTTGTTGTTGTTGTTGTTGTTGTTACGTGCTGTCGAGTCGGGACTAACCCATAGCGACCCTGGACA